CCCCCTATTGGCTCCGACCTCACCCCCCCCCCCCCCCTCCCCGCTGCAACTCACCTGACACCTGAGACTCCCAGCTCTACTGTCTCAGGACAGCCTTTAAAGAAAGACCACAATTGTCCATTCACTGCAATAGAGGAACTAATTACTGGGGAAGAATGGAGGTATGTGCCCTGGGGACTCATCTGCGCATCTGTCCAACAATACTTCATACACCTGAGGCTCTCCAGCCCCATACAGGCCACGCTGAGCTGCATGACAAAAAGACAGTATCCAGTCTGTCGAGCCTCAACTAGCAAAGGACCAGGTCCTGGAATGAAGGTCTGCTTAATATGGCAGTGGATGTGTTTATTAGAAGTAAATCTGTTTTCCATAGAAGGAATGAGATGATGTTCTAACCCATGCTGAATTCAGACTAAAGTTGTCCGTTGTTGGGATATACTGAATTACAAATAATTATGTGTTAGAAAATCAAGTGCTGACGTATACAGAACTGAATTTTAATCGTTGTAAAAACAGATTGTAATTATCTCTTCTGAGATTTATAAATGATTTTTCAGTTGATACACAGAGACCTGAGAGTCCAGTCTAGATTTAGACTCTTCATACAGCTTATCCATTGTCTTTATGCATCTCATGACTACCAAAACACAGCCACTCAGCACCATGTACAATATTTCCGTGCATGACTGTGATTTACTTTAATACTACTTATCATTCTGTGATGGTGACCTTCATATGAACTCGTTATGATGTTAAAAATGAGAATGAGGAATGTCTTAAGTCATTTTTTAGTACAATGAAATTCAAAGGAACATTTTATATTTCATCTGTTTATTAATTAATCATACTTGTTTCTTTGAAAAATGTATGTTTTCAAAATGTCATTCTAAATTAGGTCTACATTTTAAAATGTAGGGTACAATATTCTCTTAAGCAAAATGAGAAATTCAAAATGGATTTTTCTCTGTTTAATTGGTTTCATAAACAGATTAATTTTAAGGGGCTTAATTGCTTTATCATTATGGATGATGTTCACAAGCAGTTTAGCTGGATCAAGTACAAGTTTTTGAATTTAACACCCTGCACCCTTCAGGGTAATTATTCTGCAGTTTAGCAAACACTGAAATCCACAGAAATCAAACATCAGTTTATGATGATTCTTTCATATCTTTTTGACAGCTTAGATATCTGCTGCATACAGTGTGTGAGGGGAAAGGCTTGTGTGAAATCTGGCACAGCTGTGAATATGTTAGAAATCCAGATAGTTCAGTGATGGTTTGGTATGTAGGGAAACGGTTTTCAAAGAGAGTTGTGGAAGCAAAAATGTGGATATCTAGACTTTTAGTTGTGTTGAACACATCTGGATTTTTAATTGTTGGATTTGTCTCCCTTTACAGCTGTACTCACTGACAGATTCATAATTTTGACATTCCTGGAGAAAAACAAGGTTTGCTACATCCATTTCACAAAGAAGCAAAGCTCCCCAGACTTCAGCAAGAGGGCAGAAAAGTTGTCCCTTTCCGAACTTAAGGTATAAGTACATTGCTACCACATTCATTTGATGTCCTTTAGGAATAGGGTACTGATAATTGTGGAATGTACTGTACTGTATCCAGGGACCTCAGATTTGCAAAATAATACAAGAGGTCATAAGACTTCACAGGGTCGTGTTTACCTTTAAAATGACTTTTTCATTGCTTACTTTTATTAATGTATTAAACACATCAATGTTCTGTAGCTTCTACTAAATATGTGGATGTTCATTTTTTAAAAGATATATATTTAAAAGCATGTTAAAATCTATAGATTAAATATGTGCCCTACTGTACACAGGAGCAAGATGACAGTATATCTTTTGGAAACTGCACTTTTCACTGAGAAAATATATATTGCTTGTACATGTAAATAGTTCTTTAAAATACTCCTTTACAAAATCTGTAAGTATATTCAATTGTCTAGTTGCTGAAACCTAATACTTTAAAAGCTAATTTTCCCATTTTTTCTTTGATGTTAAAACAAAGTGTAAAATTAATAAAATGTTGGGAATTTTCTTACATTTTGCCAAATTTCTTACTTAGTTCTTAGATTTCTGAATGACTAAATATCTGGGCATGTAAATCTTTTCCTTGAATGATGCCGAATTTCATTTTGGCCACTCTTTTGGTAATCTCTACTTGTGCAGTGTTTTGACTGTCCACACTCAGGGACAGCAAGTGTAAGCTTGTTTTCAAATGCAAAATATCTGAAGGAGAAAAAACAGGGAAGAAGATATGCTTTTAACATATGAGCAGACACCATAATTGCATAGATTCCTTTCACTTTTGATGTTCATTCAGGTTATGAAGAGGTCAAGAATACTGTGCTTGCGCAGAAAGAGGCGCCTTTTTTCTTGGGCACATAAATTCGGCAAAGGGTTTTTAAAGCATTAACCCCATTTTAATGGCCCTAACGGAGTGGTGAGATCACAATTTGGATGAGTCTGATTATTTACTAAATACAATACATAAATGCATCGGGTCCTTAACACCCATTGCACTCTGGCATTATCGCATTACCGTCATCCTTTGTTACCACGCAGACGGGAATATGAAAGCAATCTATCCTGTAGTGAGACTGGCTCCAGAAGCATTTTCCTGATAAGGGGACCCCCTGCCCTCTGCTAGTGTTTGGTCCAGTAGGCTAAGCTGTGAGTCTAATCCCCAGAAAGTGGTTTGATTATTGCTGACCAGCAAAGGCAGAATGGCATTTTTTATTTCATTTATTTATTTATTTTGCTATCAGACAGCCATTAATTCCTTGGCTAGGAATGCGTTGCAATCTATATCTACGGATTGTCATTTTTCTTGGTTTTTTTTCTATTTTTCAGCCTTTTATTTTTGGGGGGCTGTGCTAGTTGTCCAAATGGTCCACTGCCTGTACATTTTTTCCCCCCGTTTCCCCCGAACATCTGCAACCTAAAGGCAAATTGCATCAATAGGACACCCGCTAATGGGAAAGTAAAGTTGTTGACATCTGTTAGAGGAGGCACTGTCATGTAGTGCCCAGAAGAGTGTTTACTATAAAGGCAGAGATGATGTGAAAATGGAATTTGTTTAAATGAAACAATTTGTAAACTATTTTCTCAGTATTTTGAAAACATGAATCAAAATGTACCAGTAGGCACAAAGAATAAATGAACACTGTGCATTTTTATGTTTGTTTTCCCAGAAATGGCTAAATAAGCAAAGCAAGTCAATTCATTTTGGTTACTTGTGGTTGGGTGTTAATAAACAGTGATTCCAGCAAGCAGTGCAGGAGAACATATGTGCCAAGTTAATGCTGCCTGTATTTCCGATGGGTTAGATCTCCTATGTGGATTTACCCGGGCCTGCCGGACGCAGACTGGACCGCCGGGTGGCTGTGAACTGCTTGCAGGATGTAGTGATTTGCTGGTGGCCAGCAGTTAATGAGGATGCCTGGCCTTGGTCTCCCATTTCCAGCGAGAGGGACCGAGCTAACCTGGTGCTGCTGAGCTGCTCAAACGCTAGCCTGAAGGTAAACCGCTGTTCTCCACGGCTCAAAATTTATGTGAATGCCTGTTTTGCCATTGATGTCATTCTACAAATGTTAAACTGGGGAGTCGCTTAATTAATAGGGCACCTATAACAGAACACCTTATGTAATGTGGAACGTCTGCCCTGACAGAGAGTGGGTTCTGTGTGCTAAAGAAAGACCTCTCTTCCTCACCCATCTCTCTAAATATTTCTGTTACTATAGAATTAGAAGCTGCCCCCATTATGTGAAATCGATAAATATAATGGACTGAATTAGTGGGAAAAAATATAATTATAGCAGAAATCTTGTAAAATATGGTTTGTTTTGAAAAGAATCAGTCATTTCATATGTATTAATTGGGCATTGATCACATTTATGGTCTGGAGTTGATTCGAATGGAATAAAAGTACCCTGCCACTTTCACAAACAAGGACCTGATAATTTGTGATGGTGAATTAAATATGTCAAGGGTTCCAGACTTGGGAAAATAAGCTGTGATTTCAGCAAAGACTTTTATCAAGACCCAGTCCTCTGAACTCACTGATAGCCTGCACAGCTGCTTCAAGTTATAGACAAACAATTTGATGTTGAATGCCGTCGATCCCAAAATTACTGAGCAGCTTAGAAAGATAGCAGAGAGCTTCTTAAATATATGCAAAAAAATTTGTGCAGTGGAAATAGCGTTACCAATTTCATATGCGAGTTATGAAAATAAATGCAAAATGATGCAGTATATTTAGTCTGTTTGGAGTGTGTGAGGATTTATCTTAGTCCTTCACCTATTTTTTTTACGCTCAAAGAACATTAAAGTCCTTCCTTGCATCATTTCTAATTAAAGTGTTTGTTGTCATTTTCAGATCCACAGTGTGAAATTAAGCTAGCAGTTTATGTAAGACCCATGGAGTAAATCAAACACTTTTCTCATCAGAAAGACAGGGACTTCAATCACTTCAAGCTTATATATATGTTTCTTTTGTTAAGTTTTCTATCTGCATGCTAAGCCAATTTTCTACTTAGACTCTAGCATTTAAAAGTGTTATTTAGTTCCCTATGTGGTCTTTATCCCTACCTCTTACTGATAAGCACCACCATAGCCAAAATATATATATGCTTAATTATGCAGACATTTAACATTTTTAATGATTTGTGGTCCCCAGTATTAATAATCTTGAAAGTGATTTTTTCATATCTTGCTTTTTTCACTCATCAGTTTGTTTTCATTTGTCATTTGGTTATTCATTTCAAATGTACTGTATACCGTTCTCTTCTGGCACTTTGAATTAATTTAGCGTTATTCACGTTTCTTTTTTTCCAGTTTTTTTTTGGTGTGAGCTACTACATTTTAATGGATAAAAAAAATATCAGTAGTGTTTTCTGCACTTTGAGAATGTGAATGATCAGTGTAAAACTTTTAGGACAGCTTTGTGGTGAAATGGCCTGTGTATCTTAACTGGATGGTTGTGGGTTCGAATCATAGGCACTACCCTTGAGCCAGCTGCTTCACTCATATTGCTCCCTACTGTGTCAATGGGTGCAAATGGAAATTATTTTGGAAAAAGAAATAGCTGAATAAATTGATGATGATAACAATAGAGTCGTGGAGTAAGATCTCTGTGGCATGCTTGCTAAAATTCAGAGCAGTACTTTTGATTCATTAGTTAATATCCAAGGTTTTTATTCAGGGCTAGAGTTCCCTTTAACCACTCTGTATATCATGGTCTATATTATGTAGTTTTTAATACTGTATAATGTATGTTAAATAATAATTTTGAATCTGTTGAAGTGCCTAACAGCTACAGGGAGCTTGTATGTTCCTTTGGTAGTCTCTGTAGTCAAAGGTTTCAGTCTGAGTTAAGAGAACTCTATCTTTTTGTCAGCATTAATACTTTGGTACCTGCAGATCCGTGAATAAGCAGCAAGAGTAGTATCTATACTTTGGTTGTCACTTAAGATCTTCTACTCATGTTCCAGTAAAAAAAAAAATTTTGGAAAAGGTGTGTTGTTGGTCTGTGTCAAAACATTTACATTGGGTAAGAAGCAATTGCATCGTCTGAAAAAAAAAAGCTTTTAAGTAAAAATCGAATTTGTAAAAATTTGAGCAGAGCTGTTGACAATCAAAGGTTCAGATTTCACATTACATCTATAACAGGCCAAATGAGAATGGAAACAAAGTCTGAGTGCCAGGAAATCCTGGGTTCTAGCTGACTATGTGACCTCCAGGCCAGTCTGTTGGCCTCTCGCTGCCTCCACTCTCTGAACTGGAAAATTCGGTCAAAGTGGGATACTGCTGTGAACAAGGGCTTGGATCTCAGCTGGACGATCCGGGGTTTATCTTTCAAAACTGAAAGAAGATTGGCCGACCAGTCACTGAAACCAATAAATAGGAAAAGAAAAGGAGCGTTGGGGTTTATAAGACGCTGTGGCTAGTGCTTAATTTCCTTGGAGGTGTATGCAGTCCAAATTGTACAAAAAGAAATTGCTGCTACTGTATGATTTAGTGAAACAAGGTTTAAATTGTGTTTATGTTTTTAACTTTTCACATAAGTTAAAAACATAAGGGGTATTAAATTTTTTAGCACATTTATTTTGGACCTGCACCTTGTGTAAATGTGTGCTGTGTCAGACGGCTTTTAAAAATATCCGCTTTGAAGTTGTTAAGCTGTAAAAACCTTATCGCTATAATGCAATTAAGCATTCATTAAACTATATTTTATGGGATACATATTCTTTTGTCAGTGGAGTTTTCCCATTCACTGTTTTATGAATGATGAGCCTATAAATGTGAGAGGGCCCTAGGCTAACTAGAGAGTTCTGACCAGGCCCAGCCTGCTTTAGTGACAGCGCTGGGATGAGCTCACACTCCGAAGCAAATCTGTCTTGTAGGAGATGCCACCCAGAGTCAGAGGGATAACTGAGCTGGCAGAAAGATGAATTAGACCGAAGCAGCGTCAGCACGTTCATCTCCAGCCCCTGGAGATCATCACGAAAGAAAGATAATGGAAAATCTGCTTTTCATATAGAGGACCAGAGCCCTGGAACTGCTTCCCTTTGGCACTCATTGACAAACACAAGCTTTACAGCAGATCTGCACTTCTGTCTACACGGCAAAATGAACTGCACTCGTACAGTAGACACACGCTTTAGTTTTGCAGCAGTACACACATTTTTAATGAATCAGAGACTGTGTAAACGTAGCGATACAGAAGACCAGTTACTTTCCAGAGGAAAGCCTGCGTCTGAATTCTGTTGATTTTCTGTTATTAAAAAATAAGTACTTTTACTTATCCCAAAGCTTTTTGCTTTCCCCATTTGAAAAATAATTTCCTATCTAAAGCAGACAGTATGCTGTTGTCTTCCCAGTTGTCTGTAGCAGGTTAGAAAATGACACCTCTAAAGAATTCATTAACTGCTGTTCAGTTGATTTATTTTCCAAATAATCTAGCAGTTTCTAGGTGTGTTCATTATATAATGAACTGAACAGGAAAGCAATTTGGTTTCTTCACAATGTACTGCTAACCAGGGATTTGTTTTTGCCACTATCTATTAACGTACTGTACCTGCAGTTTTCACATAAATTACATTTCTCCTTTAAAATATACACTAATATTTATTAATAGCACACAAACTATTATGGTTATTTAAGAATTCATACCTGTATTTCATAAAGGAGTTTTTTTTATCTTGTTGCGAGGAATACATTTTGCATTGAAGAAGACAGCAGCACCCACTCAGTAACAAACCCATGAAAAAAATCTGAAAAATAAGTTTTGTAATTTTTTACAATTCTTACAATTTTTATTTAAGTGCCCTTGAAACCTGAGTTACATTGTAAGTAACAGAGCAGTCTAAAATAAAATATTGAGTGCAGTTAATCAAGAATCAAGCAGGTATGAGTAGCCGGTTGTTATATGTCAGAATCAAGGAAAGCTTCAGCGTTATATTTACACTGTTGAGCTTCTCTGACACTAAGGTCGTGCAAATAAATTAATTTAGGACTGCCTTGTTCTCGGGCCAGTGTCAGGAAATGAGCCCTGGTGTCCTAGCCCAAAATAATTTCTGCTTCCTCACGTATATAGCTGATGTCATATCTTATACATACATTTCACTTATTTGTATATATAAAAAATGACAACAAAATAGAAAAATTCTACCATAAAAAAGTATACCATACCATCCATTCATCGTCTTATCTCTTCTTTCAAATCCAGGGTTGCGGGGCAGCAAGAGCTGATCACAGCAAGAAATGGGCGCAAGGCAGGGGACACCCTGGGCTGGCAGGGCACACACACAGACATAAACATAGACACTCACACCAGGGCCAATTTTCCCAGAAGTCAAATAGCCAAATACCAGTCTGTTTTGGGGATATGGGCGGAAACTAGAGCACTTGAAGGACGTTGATGCAAAAAAAAAAAGAGAACATACAAACTCCACACAGATTGCACCCCAAGCCCAGAACTGAACCAATGCCCCCTGCAATGCCAGGCACTGTGCCACACATGTGCCATTATTTATATACAATTTACTTTTGTGTTGACCATGTTGGACTGTTTGTTAAATTGCGGAATAAAATAATGGTAAAGAACAAGCAAACATACCTACATAGTTTCTTTTGAGACCCTTGTCTCTAGTGGGTTCTCTTCTATTTTTGGAATTGGATTAGTAATTGTTGTTAATTTTATAACTGACTGCCCTGCAGAAGAGCTGAGCTGTAAGTGAATTTCTTGGATGGTTCTCTGGTTCTCTGGTTCTTTCTTAGGTGCTGAGCTGCATTCGCACAGAGTGGGACCCTCTGGACTGCGGCTTCAGCAGCAACCAGCCCTACCAGCTCCTGACCGTGGAGCGCTCGCAGGGCCCCGAGCAGGAGGAGATGGCGGATAGCTGCGTGTACGAGTGCGCGAGGAGCCGTGTCCAGCGTGTGGCCGTGACCGGCATCCCCCTGGGCTCCAAGGCCATCTCCTGTAGCCGGGACCCCACGGAGGACAAGCTGCTCCTGGGCTGCCTGGACTCCTCCCTGGTGCTGTACGACGCGCACCGCGGGGTCACGCTGCTGGCCCAGGCAGCCGTGCTGCCCTCCCTCTTGGCCTGGCACCCCGGGGGGGGGTTGCTCATGGCGGGCAGCAGCCAGGGAGAGCTGCAGTGTTTCGACTCAGCCCTCTCACCCCTCAAGACACAGCTCCTGGCAGAGGACCTGAAGCCCGCCACCACTTTCCAGTTCAGCCAGCACCTGGAGACGCCAGGCAGCCTGAGCCACCTGCAGTGGGCAGCGGCCCTCTCTCCCCCTCAGAGCACAGACAGCCTGGAGGTTCACAACCTGCTGTTTGTCTGCTTTGATGGGGGACCACTGGGAGCCCTGCACTTCAAACCAGGTACGAGTTATTTTAATCTGGGCTTGCTGGAAGGTGGATATTAGCGAATGAATTTGTTATGTTGAACCAGAGAAACCTTCTTCCTGGCTTGAAACCGATGCTATTCCAAACCAAACCACAGTAACACTCATTCTGATAAAATCTGTCCCTGTCAGAATGGAATACTGATGGGAGCTTTATCATACTCGCTGCCTCTCCACAGCCCTTTTGCCCAGGAACATCGCTGATAAATATTTATAAAAATGCACTTACAGTTATTAAAAGGGGACAGGGGGATCGTCAAACCCAGAAGCCTTAAATATTATACGTGTCATCAGATTTGTAGTATAGCTGGTGTCAAAGAAAAAAACATTTCTTGCACAATAGAATCCGACACTTTAAGAAACGGAAGACACTCGACCTATAACAAAGTAATGTTATATTTGAAACACCTTGCATCTGCAGCTGTGTAAAAGTTGATGTGACCTTTCAAGTCGTGCTGAGATGTGGTGCACTCGGCAGAGCTCCTCAGGCCTGACTGCGTTAAACCCCAGGCGCTCAGCCCTGGTCCACTGTTGTGGGCTTTTTTTTTGTGACGACTTGTTTACAGTGCAGTATGTCCTCTGGCACTAAGATAAAGCTTGCCAATCAAACTCGTCAAAGCATCTCACTTTAATTGTGACTTGAGGAAGATTTGAAACAGAGCCACAATCAAAGTCGAAGGAGTCGGGGTGGGGGGGTGGGGTAAAATATTTGCCTTTTTTCCCCATGATCTTTTGCCAAGGTTTTGAAACACAGACACAAAAAATTGGTGTTTTCTGTTAATAATTATATAGACACATATGGTTTGTTTATTTGTTTATTTATTTTTAAATTATAGACGACAGAGCAATTTGAACCGGTATGGAAGAAGGGATTGGCAAGCCTCCATTTTGAGTAAGGTTTCTGCCACATGCGGTTATCTCATCTGGGCACGCATGTGACAGGCCCTGAAATGCAGTTTTTTTCGGGTGGATTTAGAATCGTGAGTCTCATTAGCCTAACAGAATTGTGGGCTGTAATAATTGCTAGACTGCAGCACGTTCTTCTCATTGCTGGTGTGGAAACAGAAACAAAACAGCGTGCTGCACAGTCTTTATATCTGAATGAAAGACTAATATGCCTGCAGAGAAAAGGCAACTGCTTTTCCATTTAATTCTTTCAGTGTTTTTTTTTTTTTCATGGGTGATCTGAGCAAGCAGTATGTTTTATTTATGCTGTTTTGGCTTGTTGTTTTTTTCTATTTCATTAACCTGTTTTTGTCTTTTTGTACCAAACTCGCGTTACTGTACTTACCCACCTCTCCTTGTCACTGCAACCCCCGTGCAAGCAGAGAGGAGATAAAACACAAGTTGAAAGGCTAACGAGCACTATGTCATAAATCTTTAAATATTAACACTGACCATGACATTTCCTTATTGGTATCCTGATTCTCTGCAGTCTGTTTCGTTGTGTTCTGTTGCTCAGCTTAGAAGATTAAGAGGTACTGTATATCACATTCAGGTAGCTCATGGCATGAAGTCAATATAGGGTGTCCATTCTATAGAAAACTTCTCTCGTGAAACCACAGTATAGGAGAAATATTTGATCTACAATATTTTCCGAGTTAAAAACTAATGATGCTTAATGGGACTACAGAGCCTACCCCCAGCTACCCTGATGAGTGTCCTCTCCAGGTGCCACTTGTTCAACATTTCTTCATCATTAAAAAATTGCTTAAAGTTATCAACAATCTAATAACCTGACTCATACGATACCAAATACTGGGTCTTTATGCTGAAGAAAACTTGAAGCAATGAGGTGATGATGGTTAGTGATGTTGGTGATGATTTCTGATAAAGTACCTGAAGTGAACACCTGAACAAATTGTTTTAACATTTCATTGCTCTTTCTAATGCATTGATATTAAGTTGCTCAGTACACAAATCCAGCCTTGTGCTGAATTCTGGTCCCTGACTGTGGACAGGCATGTATTGTGAGTGAAGAGACGTCAGCGTGTGATTGGAATGAACTGTAGATGTTTGTAGTTGGAGAGGAGTATCTCTTGTGTGTGTGACTAAATGTGTCCCGGCGTCTCCATGTTTGTTTGGGTGCATGTTGATCATCGTGTGCCTGTATATGTGAATGTGTTTGTTTCTTTTTTCCCTCCCAGGGGATTGAGCTCAGAACAGGCGCTGATGAGAGACCCAGATTTTTTCCCTTGAAATCTGCAGCTCGGTTCATTTATTACTGACATTAGCAAGCTCTTTGGGGATTTAGGGGCCTAGCTGCTAATTGCCAGCTTGTAATTTTAATTGGACGGCCTCCTTCTTTCTTAAATCAATTAGGCAATAAGTTGGCCGTCACCTTATTCTCCAAAGCAGGCCATTTGGAGAGCTTTACCACCCACAAGAGGTCAGTTGTCCAGATGGAGATCTATTAAGGTTTACAATTAACAGCCCTTGCTTCTACAAAACCTGGCTATGAGTGTTTGAGGCTTGTATTTCTATAACCATGGAAAAAGAGAATCAGCTCAGTGTCAGACTTCAATGTCTGAACATGGACCATGTGTGGATCATACAGTTGGGTCTTCATCTAGCTCTCAATTTTAGTGTCTTGTGTTCCTGAGTAACCAGGCTGAGCGTATTATTGATTATTTCTTATTACTCAGAGTGATTCGATACTTGGGATTAGTCAGCTGCTGAATAATTAACTTTTTTCCCCCTTTTTTACAGCTAATGTAGGTGTTAGCCAGTCTCAGGTGATTGAGGGAGAAGTTGATTAGCCCCTTGCTGATTAAGTCTTTGAGCAACGTGCACAATTTCTGTTTTTGTCTGTAAATGTCATGGTAACATTGAGCCGCTGAACTGACTCTCTCCTTAGTTTGCAAAAAATAATCTGAGTTATTATGAGCTGCGAAACCAACTGTTTATATGGTGGAGCTTCATTTATGGAGATGCATTGTAAATACCGCTCTTCGTTGCACGAGTTTTATTTCTAGGCAGATTTTAAAGAAAAATGAGAATGTTAAATGACACGTCTCTGAGATTTCCTGATTTAGTTCTTTAAATACTGCTAAGTCTGTGAAAACACAAGTAGGAACACAGCTTTTGGTGCCTCAACAGAGTGTCTCAAAAAGCCACCATGTATTTGAAGATGTAAAATTCATGGTCTGTACTTCTCTCTCATTTTACATGTTCTCTTTCTGTTGATATAAAACAGTGAGCTGTAGTTATCAGCATTTCCAGTTGAACACTGAGAATGAGCATCAGAATTTCATTATGAATAATAAATTATACTACCTACCTTATTACAATTACTGTTACTACTGCTACTAATATAACATTTACTAATACTGCATTCGGAAGCAGAGCAGGTGGTCACAAAGGCGCACTGGAAAATAGCTCCAATGATTCACAGCTTAGAAACAGCAGCTCTGTTCGGTCTAGGCTAGACCCTTCTCAACCTCCTTAGATTTTTTGCATTCCTTATGTCACAATAAGTGACCCAAGAATGTCCCATATGTCGACAAGGTGAGCTTTCCCCTCCAAACCTCAACTAGCATTGCAACACTAAGACAAAAGAACACAGCCCCGAATGACCTGCATCATTACAGGCCTCGCTAAAAACCCACTGCGAGATTACGGTATGTAAGATTAGGTAAAGATGTTGTTTCGTTTTTGCTCTTGATGGATTTTGTTGTTCGGGCATTATTTAATCTTCATTGTTAAAACATGTGCTAATATGAGTCGCCAAGTCACATGGCCGGGCTACAAGGGCAGACGTGGCTTAAATTCCTGGGCCTGATAGCCTACTGCTTGCAGGATAAGGGCCCAGTCTATAGTCTCTTCTCCAGCTCATGTTCACCATCCCTACATTTAACTGTCATTCCACTGGGTCTAGATATGCCAGTCTGTGTACAGTATTAACTGGAAGTCCATTGGAAATAACTCAGTAGTATTATAGATTTAATTTAGTTTGAACCAAGAGTGTCTTGGTACTCATTAAAAAGTGCAAAACCCAAACATTGACTAAGGGGGAAAGAAGTAACATGACAGGAATGTCCTTGGCAGAGCAGTAATGAAATTATTATAAAAATGTCTTAGTTGGTTCTTTTTAGTACATTGCCTTACAGTATGCCTTCCATTATTAGTTACTTTTAAGTTTAAGCATGCTTAGAAAATGTCCTGGGAAAAGACTTTCCCGTATAATTTGGATTTCTTTGTACTGCATGTATTTCATGTGGAGTTCTGGCAGCCTCTCTCTCCAATTTAGAGAAGTGATTTGAGAGGACCTCACCATGGTACTCAACCAGTGCTGACAGAAATAAGAACATAAAGAACCACAGTGACAGCTTTCCTTCCAGTCAGGTGTATAAGTGTAGGTAGTCTTGTGAGTGATGCATTAAGGCTAAGGCTTGGACTAGCTGGCTGGACATGAGATGCGCTTGAACTGAATTAATCCTGCAAATGTTTCTGTGGCAGGAGTCCTGAATCTGGGGCAGCTGGGGCCAGTCGACATGACCCTTCAGTGTATCCGCTGTCAGCAGATCGAAGAGGCTATTAACATCTTGAGTGGCATCAACTGGAACACAATGGGACCAGACTGCTACAGGTGTCTAAGTGCCATTGTGGATCATCTTCTCAGGCAGAAGTTAACAGCAGAACGGGAAGGTTTGCCTAACTTGTTGTTTTTTTTTTTAGCAATCCTTGTTTCATTTTTCTGTTGTGCCTCTTTCTTTGCTTTGAGAACTTCTCTTCTTGGAGCAATGCTGGGAATTGTTTTGGTTATTTTCATTTTTCTAGACAGTTGATTTGTCTAATCATTTTAGTTTCCAAACAGTGCTTTAAAAAATTCTGCCTATTAGGAAATGATGTAAAGGTTGCGGTCAGAAACAAACCACATACAGTGTACATTTAAAAGCGAGCATTGTTACTTGGTTAAAGTGCACACTTTTGTTTTTAACTAATTGTGTTTCAACAGCAAATATCCATCACCTTATAATTGGCAAGTCTGGACTGGTAAGAATGAACAGGTGGAAAAAAAGAATTACCCCCCCCCCCCGAGTCTTAAATGGGTTTTGAGTTCTATTCTATGTGCTTTTATACTCAGGGAATCTGAACTCTTGTGATTATTCACTCTGCTGGCTGTTGCCTCATTGATGCTTTCAGTTCTGGTCAGGTGTCTGCCATTTTTTGTCTCTCTACAAAGGATCAATGCTTCAATTTTGTAGTGTTCTACTCACTGCAAATTATCTTCTTGAGTGCTCTAAATACTTAGAAGGGTCCAATAGGATCTTGCAACTAATTAAGTACATGTACCTCTGAATCATTGCATTATACCAGACAAACTCCCGAGCATTAGCCCTGAGGGAAACAGCAAGTGTTATACTAAATAGCTGCTTTATTCCTGAACTGCATAAATAGGCAGACTTTTACTGAGCGGCTTGTTAATGATGCCCGTGTCATTTAGGTTGTTTTATGTCTGTTTTTCACTTTCATGTGCAACAGTTTGAGCTTGGCATGTGTTTATTATAGGAATTGCTGTTTGTATTTCTCACAAAGAGTGGTGTCTGGTTTGGGGGCTTATTCCGTTGAAGATGAAACTGTTCTTCCTGCAGGTTTACTGTAGTTTTAATGATTAGTTTTCCACCTAAAAAATAAATTAATCAAGAAAATGAGAGGTTATAGTGTCCCTTACCCTGCTTTAGAAATACTTTTATAATTATTACTGCTGAAAATGAATTAAAGGGATTTTCTGACTGACATACTAATTAATTTCTTCCACTCTTTTAAAAGTACTGTTGATTAATAATTGCAAGGATTATTGTCCTGTTTAATATGCTTCTCTGTCTTTATCTTATAGAATACGCCTTATCTGTGGCTAAATGTCTTAAAAAAATAATCCATCTGATTATTGATTGGTCTATTGTTAGGGTGCTAAAAGTTATTCCGTTAGTACAGGGTGAAGATTTGGTTAAAGTCAAAGCTGACAAAAGGATTGAGTATTCTTGTTTTCAATAAATAAATATTTTGAGTTATGACATTCTTGGGTCTGGTTTGGTGTCTGATACTCTGTTCCGTCTTCAGCTCAGCTGGAAGCAGCCCTTGGAACATTCTATGTTCCTTCCAGACCCCTTTCAGAAACGGCAGTGCTAGAATACCGCGACCCTATCAGCAAATACGCTCGCCGCTTCTTTCATCACCTGCTCAGGTGAGTGACGCTAGTCTGTGTTTCCTTTCAAATTGACTTCAGCTGTCATAGTGCTTGGGGACCATTCTTTGATATAAACGCATGAGAGTACCTGTAGCACATTTCCTTTTCAAAACCGAGACTCCAGAGGCATTTGAGAGAGCGGGCAACATCTGAAGATTAAAAACAAAAAGAATGCTAGTTACTGTAGCTCCATTTAAACCACAATCTCATTATTAATCCTTCCTTGTCCACCTTTCTCACAAACAGCTGGGACAAAACCTAATAAGAAATTAAATGTGTGTGCTGGAGTTATGTGGCTGTTCAATGTTTTAGATCAGAAACAATTTTTAAACTACAAAGTTTATTGTTCATATGTGCCATGAATATGTGACTTGTAATGAATTAATTTAGATTTAATTCATTTTTATCTGGTTTTGAATATACTGTATGATAGGCTTAATGAATTAGAAAAATAAAAATGTGTGTGCTGATATTTTAAATACTGCATAAGAGAGATTTTGAAAAGACTGATGTGTTCTCATGGTATATTGAAAACCATTTACATTGTATCAGTCTCAGAACTGGACAGTAAACCACAGTCATCAGGATTTATTGTTTTCTGCATTAAAAAATTCTATGTTTCCTCTTATCTGCATATGCTGCAAATCTGTAGTTGTAGAAGCTATGGCAGCTCATGTATGGTATCTGGCCAGTTAAGATATAATGATATGTTAGTTAATCGCTGTTTATTCAAATCATCAGCATTGTTACAGCAGGGTTTGCCAAGGTTGCCTAGAGTGAAAAACAACTGCTACAAAAAAAAGCTTATAAAACTGATTTATTTTGTTGAAAAACAAATCTTAATCTTTCATTGTTAATAAGGTCAAAGGGGTCAGCACTTTTAATCCTTCTATAATACAAATGCAGTATTTAAACACTAATTGCTTGCTGACCTAACATTTACCCCCAATATGCAAGTCTTCAAGACATGTTTCTGTTTTGAGGTTTTGCTCTGAAATATACAAATAAGTAGTACAGTTCTTGATTGATAGCTGTAAAGACAAAGCATTAATTCTTTTATTAAATGTGATTTAGCGTTTTTTTTTCTCGTTTAATGAGAAGTCAAAATTTTATTTGCTAAAATTTGGCTCTTTGCCTTGTTCTCTTCTGCGAGTGACAAAATGAAAGGCCTCTGAATTTCCTTATCATAGACCTCCGTTCCTCACAGCCCCAGAACATTAAATAGGCTTGTTTTTTGTTTCATGTCACTTTTCAAGCATGGAAGTTTTAAGGTTCGTTTTCAAGCGATATTCAGTTTCTCTGCGCTAATCTGTGTCATGGGCTGTGCCAGCCTGCTGTCAGCTATGGAAGGGTTTTGCTCTTTGTCATGTACAGTATGCAGGTTTGTCTGTTTACACCTTGTTTGTTTGGCACTTCTGTCCCCTCTGACTTCAGATGCTTTTTAAAAACCAAAGTCTTATTGATCTTATCTTCATGTTGGGAGGAGCTGAGAGAAACCAGTTTGTCAAATAGTGACAGGTGCTGTTATCCTAATGGTATAAAATAAACTGGTGTGGAGAGAAGGCGACTGAAATATTTGCTGAGCAACTGTCCGGTTCCTTTCTGGTTGTTTTTGATTTATAGGCTGAGGGACATATTTTCACACGCTTTTTACAAAATGTGAGAATTGCAGCAAACATAGTTACTCTTCAAATTATACCAATTGATGATGAACATATTGAACATATATTGATATCAGTATTAAACCTGCTCAAGGCGCATTATTACTGTAACCATTTTGAAAAATACACACTTGTATGAATGTTTGTCCATGGCTCTCTGTACATACTGTATGCAGATAATGGCTATCTGAATGATATGTGTTCTTGCAGCAGACAAATTCTGTAATAACATTATAATAATAAGTGTTGGTGCATGAATCCAAAACTGAAAATAGCTTATTGACCCCTTAAGATGTAAACATTAAAATTAGACACTTGTCTGACGGCGCACAACAACTGAGATCTCATTTCTATGTAGGTGTGTGTATAGTGTAATGGAATAACTAAAGGATGCTTAAGAACAACTTTGTCCAAACACAACTCCCATTTCCTTCTTTTTTAAAGGTACCAGCGATTTGAAAAAGCATTTCTGCTTGCATTGGACATTGGAGCTCGTGACCTGTTTATGGTATGTACCTTTTTGTTAGAAAGAATATATGTATTTTCTGCTGTTTGTAAAACAAAAGAGGGTCAACTTAAGGAAAATAAGGGATTTGGCTTCTTTTAAGAGTCCATTTGAAAGACACTATTTCAGATTATATAATGTTTATACAGGACGGTGTAACAGAGAAAAAGATTAATCTGAGATGTAAAAATCTTCAGTTTGCATCTAAACGTCCTTTATTGATTAATATAGAGTGCTGAAACCTGTAATTATCATATGCTTTGTTTACACTTTTTAGAAATGTTTTAGAAAAAAGTGGCAATGACAAATCTCTATGGTATTTTAGCACCAACATATGGAAGTGAAATTGAAAACACCTTAGCTTTTTTTCTAAAACGAATGCTTCTATTAACAGCTGAGATTCCCAGATGGGAGTCCATTTAATAACAATAACCACCGCTTTTAGCTTGTGTGAAATGGTCCCATAAGAAAAAATCTGTTTTTTTTTTCCTACACTTTCCACTGGCAGAACAAAAATAAGATATACCCACGGATGTGTAGTCTTCCACCTCTCAAAAAACATTAGCAGGAATCACCCCGGTGAAAACGAGCAATGACTGGAGGGTTTGTCTTTTATGACTCATGTGGTCTCAATACTCTTCTTTTCTTCCCCTCTTTATTTCTGAAGCAATAGCGCTGTATCTTTGAACCTCTTTTTTCCCTCCCCTGCCCTGAGTACTGCAGACACTTTTCACTTAAATAGATAGGAACGTTCCAATCCATTCCCCACTAAGTACAGCTGCTGAGACTAGAATTGAAAGGTGGTGCCTGTTCTCTGGACCTTGAAAAGACTCAGTGTGTCACTTAGACACATGAGAAAGTGACAAATTATGAACGCTCCCACAGCTACTTTTAAAACAACAAAGCAGCAGTGAGGACCTAAAGGCATTGACGTTTCACCTCACATTATGCCCTCCCATTTAATTAGCTACAGAAGTAAAATTAACCTGCCTTTAAAAGGGCTCTGTAAAGGCCCTGCATGTGGCCCTTGTTTTGTAAGATCTTGCCCCACAATGTCGCACGAGGTCGGGTGGACAAAACCAATAGAACTCCATATAAGTCTCCCAGCATGCCACTTCTCCACAGCTGATTCAATTGTTTTCAAAGAAACAATAGGGGGAAAGCCTTTGTTAAGGAAATACTTTGGTCGGGGACTCGTTTGCTGGGGTGTTTTGCATAATGATGACATTCTATAGCTCTAATTACACTTTGATAGTGCCAGATAATTTATCCAATTAGATCATTTGTGAGCACTCCAGTTGTGTGATGTATAACTAATTAAGAATTCTGATTACAGAATTAGATCTGCGCTTTGTTCCTAATGGGCCTTGTTTTTTGATTTGGTTGCATTAAAAAAAAGGGAAAAAAATGTTAAAGAACTGCCTCGACATCTCAGATTAGACACTGCTATTAATATTCATCACAGTACAAGCTGTACTGTACTTCAATAAATCAGATTTATTAGTTGTTATATTGAGATGAACAATTAATGCTATTAAAAGGTTAAGTCCCGGCCATATATCTGATAAATGTGTTATAAAATCCTGCACAGATTACAGTAATGACTTTATGTTCTTGTGGCTTTGTGGATGAGTTATAACATATGTTCATGTGAAGGGTTCTAATTCATTCTGCTTGTGTTTTTTTTTTTTTACAGCTAGGAGTTTAGCATTATTGGCCTGTGAAATAAAAGAAAAACAGACTAATGGCAGATATAAACTCCATTTCTCTTTGCTTTAAAGCTCTTATGTAAAATAACTGTGTCCTGTATCATATCTGTGTGCCCATAAATAAAGGGTGGAAGTTGTGATTGTTTGTTCATCCCCCTTTAGCCCCCTCTATTCCCTTTCGAACTCCTGACCACTCATCACTCTGCTTCCACAGAGAGCAGCTGAAACGCTGTGACCAGCCAGGGTCCCCTCCGGCCACTGTGCCCACTAACACACCAGCCCTGTCCTCTTAATCACAAGAGGCTGGCAGGAGCAGTGGCTGTGATCATTCCCTTTCTCCTCCGCTCACAAAAGGGGTGACAATGCAGTTAACCCCATCAAAACCCAGGCAGGCACAGCTGGATTTCAAGGCTTAACGACCTTCCTATTCAAGGGGAGCTGAGCGGAAGGGGTGGGGGTGGGGGGGGAGCACACATCTGCCAGTTTGCTGATCCTGTGTAGCCATCATGCAGATCCTCACATCATGTAGACCAACAAATTGAAACATTAATAAAAGAAAAACACAGCCCTATTACTCTTATTCTGCCACTATTATGATGCTTATTCTCTTATTACGGCACTATGGACAGCAGTCTGACAGGTGATACCAGATTAGGCAGTGCTTAGTACTGGTTGGCGCTGGTCTCTCATGCTCACATCTACTCTCCAAAAACAGCTCTGATTCTACTGAGATGCAATAGCTTGTGAATAGACAAAGAACTGCTTCAGCATTATGTTCACTATGAAGGAACAGAAGATCTGTGTAGATTTACATTTGTGCTGTATATGGTTTCATGACCTAACAGTGGCTGCTCAAATTGTCACAACTAGGTCTGCTGCTATAGGTAGCCCTCACCGATAGCTGAACCAGTGAGTGTCTGGGAGTGCAGTGTCAGATTTTATTCATAGTTATATTGGCATAACTGTTTTCTTTCCAGTGAGTGGTAACGAATTGCAGCAGAGTTGCATTGCACATTTATGAGGATACATTGTCTGTAGTTAATGGTAATAACTCAATTTATAAATACATTTTTTTTTAATTTTGCTATTATGATTTATTGGCTGTGACTTACTTAGATAAATGTTTCGGTTTATAGAACATGACTTTAAAGAATTAATAGTTTTCGTTTTAGTATTTTGAACCTTTAAAAGCATGAAGACGCTCTTATGTGTCTAATAAGTTACACATATTAAATATTTGATTTAAAAAAATCAAGTTATATCATATATATATATTTAAACTTACTTCAATAAAATAAAGGTTGGTACAGAATTTTCATTACACTGTGACCTCCTTACTGTAACAGAACCCTGGCAGGTAGTGGTGAAGAGAGCTGTGTAAAGAACTGTTGTAGAAAGCTCTTAGATTTAGTGCTGCTGTCCTTCCTCGATTTTTTAATTTTGAGATAAAATCGCAAAGGGAATGTGACTAAATTAAAGTTTTAAGCATTTTCATCTGGGCTGTCTGATGTGAACTTCAAGCAGATTATTTTATCTTTTTAACAAAAACGAACCATTGTTACTGGACCCAGATTCATTTTAGATTAATCTCTTATTTTGCTTTACTTTCAAAGGACATCCATTACTTAGCGCTAGATAAGGGGGAACTGGTGCTGGCTGAAGTCTCGAAGAAAAAGGCTAATGAAATTGATGCAGAATCAATATCCACTGGACTGGGTAAGAACGCTGTCAAGTAAAGCACTCTTTTGAAATGAGCCTTTCTGTAAAACATTGCACATGAAGTAGTTCTTTTCAGGAGGACTTAAAATTAGCTTCTGGTTGATTTGGCTGCTTTGTAAAAATAATTTAGATTGAAATGCTGTTTAACCTCAGAAATGCCAAACTGGTCTACAGTGGTGCTGTGTTTATGTCTCAACATGTGCGAAGCAGCAGTAATTACAGGAGACAGCTCTTTAAAATAGTTTTACCCTAAATAGGCCTCTTTTAGGCATGAACCTTTGCTTTATCATTGTTTTGATCAAACATTATTTTGGCTATATATATTAAGTTTTTATTAATATAATTTCAAATCTTAGCACATTCTTACTAAGCAGTTAGTAGGCAAGAATGCAGATTAATTAACTGATTTTGAAAAGAAAATATCATACTTGCACTGTAAGCCAATTCCCTGTCTAGGGCTAAAATGTAGCTCTAAAAAGCATTGTGCTGTGCACATTTCCTACACATACTGGGCCATTTAACCATTTTTTATTTGTATCCTAAGGCATCTTCCATAAAAACCCTATAAATAGTTCTGGAAAAGGTGAGGCTGATTTCACTGTGATGTGCAAATTAATTATTACTTATATGACAGCATTCAATTTTTGAGATTTATAATATGTAATTTAGGTGCACAGTACTCTGGTTTTCTTGATTGCTAATTTTCATTGGTATTCCCAGGGCAATTATGGAGAGAAAATAGGATGCAAATGACAATGCAGGTTAGAGAAGTAATATAAATGACTCTAACTAACATAACCTTTGCCAAGTTTTATCCTTTTTTAAATTTTGTACGTGTGTGGGAGATTACCGTGCGATTGTGCTTACACAATGCTAAATATCTTTTATGTATTGTTCTGGACTCCATATTCCAACTTATAGTCACTTATCTTTGAATCATAAATAACTGATGCTTGATCTGTATATTTTCCATTGTATATTTCTGTTTAGAAAGCCTAAACAATATATGTTCTCGTTATCCATATTCATGGTGAATGTATTGCACTGGAAATTGGGGAACAGGGAAATATTTTGTGAGTATGAAAGTTTTGAAGCAAGCACTCCCAGTCATTTTGAGTAGTTGGCACTGCTGGGTGAGTGGGTATCCCGAGCAGACTGGGCCTCGGGCTGTAGCCCTTGTGCAGACTGCTTCCTTCCCCAGAATTAAGTGGATTGCAGACCCACTGCTGGGGTGGCCTGGTAAAGAGATACTGCTGAGATTTGAACACCAGCTTACATATAATTCCCAGATGAAAGTTAAAATTACCCATCTTAAACTTATACCCAGATATAACAGCAGAAGGGAAAAGAGTTTCACACTTGTACAGCAGAGGATCTAAGCAACTTTTTCACGATTTACAGAAGGATCTAAAAATCTAAAATGGCTTTAAGATTTTTTTAAGAAAAGCCTTTAGATAATCCTTTCATTTACTCATTAGATAAATAAAACTGATCACTTTCTTCATTTATAAGACAATAAAAAATAGTCACAGCTTGAATACTCATGCAGTATAATTAAAAAATAATAATTTTGGCATTTAAAAAAAAATATCCAGTTATATAGAATGATCCAGAAGAGTATAAAATGAGTGTCAAGGTTCTATGATGTCTTTTTGAATTGGTTTAATCACATAGGCCAGATAGACTAAAATTGTCTTGTAATCGTATTTAATTTGGGTGATGTGTTATTCCTAATTTGAAAAGCAAAGAGGGGGGGGTGCATTCAGGGAAGCAAATAGACAGAGTTTAACTCCTTGAGAGTTTGTTAAAAGCTGGATGTTTCCTGGGGGGATTGTGGTGTGTGTTCCACTTGGAAGCTTTCTAATTATGTCCTTGATGATTTCCATATTTTCACTTTACCTGGGGCATCACGTATCCTTGGACTCTGCCAGGCCGAAGACAATGGAGAATACAGCAGTGCCGATGTAACCTTTTTGGGAGCATTTTGCTGATGTTAGTAGTTAAAAAGCAGCAATTATATTTGATTGCCTGGATATGACTTTGTGGAAAACATGGCAGAGCTACCCCCTGAGCTAGATCTGAATTAATCAAATGTGGGCTTTTTCACATCAGTGTATTCCAGTATATAAATCAATAATCTAGTCCCAAAAGGAGTTTGAAGAAGGGCAGCAAATTCTGGAAAAAACCTCACACCAGGGCCAGTTTTCCCAGAAGCCAGTTATCCTGGCAGTTTGTCTATGGACTGTGAGTGGAAACTGGAGCACCTGGCAGAAACTCGGGGAGAACATACAGACACCATGCAGACAGCACCCCAACAATTGAACCCAGGGCCCCAGAGCTGCAAGGCAGCAATGCTCACCACTGCACCAGTGTGAAGCCCATCCTAGAACCATTAATTACATGAAACATAAATGAACAGTAGCACTAATTTTCAGACACCAGCTAGTATTTTCTATAGGACAGTTTTATAAAAGATCCCATTGTTTGATGCCTCTTAACCACTTTCGGCAGCCATGGCTTAGATGCAGTTTTATTTTATTTTATTTTTATTTTTATTTGATCAATGTGAAACAAGTGTTTCAATATCTCCTACAATTTTGAAAGCACAGCGTACGCTCTTGAAATGCAAAGCATCTAGCATGAAATAGCAGTCTAAAGCTTTGTGCCTTCTAAAGTGCCAAAACTATAGACTACCTATCAAAAACTTTTTTTTGAATAGTTTTCCAGAACGGTACTGCTGTGTTTCTAAATGAATTTCTGCTTTCATCTTAGCTGTGATACATTGTTATCTACTGAGCAGGAAGGAATTCAGTTTTGTGAATGTCTTCTTTTTGAGCAAGAATACTTTCTCTTTTCACGGTTTCCATTTACAATGGCTTATACAGTAAGCAGAGCACATTAGCTGAAGTTGGAATTAGAGTTATTTTTGAAGTGGTTTGATTTTGATTTTTCTTTTTTTTTTCCACCCTGGGAAAAAAAGGAGAGTTAGGCATTAGTCCGGGAATGTGGAAACAAAAACAGCTACTTGAGCAGCAGCACGGACACATGATTCACTAGGGTTGCAATCTGGAACTGTTCTCAATGGCTTCTTTAAATGAAATAAGTGTTTATGAGCTTGCATTCCTTCTTTCTTAAAAAGACTGCTCTCCACGGTGGTACGGTGGCGAGGTTTAGTGATGCTGAATTCATTAAAATGTGAAAGGGCTTGAGGCGTTGGTCTGAGAGGCGGGTGTCAGTTATTGGTATGCCTGTGAATCGGTGCTCTTGAGAGAGCAGTGAGAGGTGGAGTGAGGGCTGCTTTTAACTTCATTAGCCTGGACACTCTTGGGAGAGTTACAGTCTTGCAATCTAACAAAGTAGCTTTTATCTCCCGGGTCATTTTACAATTTACATGCAAGTTACACATTACTATACCTCAGTGTTCCTGCACCTTTATTCATTTATTGTACTATGGCATACCATTTCAGTTTAGAAAAGTCTAACCCTTGATTTCACATTAATTAGAGAGGTGCTCTGGTGTCTAAAACCTCTAACGTAATAAAAGGATGGAGAAAATTTAAGCTAGATCTAGCAAAGAGTAATGTATCTCCAACCTTTAAATGCTATAAAGTTATTTTATTTCCTTTGTAGGTAAATATTTAGAATGACCCTATTCGTAGCTTGCAGTCTTTCATGTTCACTATGTTCACTATGTTTATTAATATAGTTTACTGTTAGGGAGATAGAACTTGTCAGTTTTAATAAATTTACCCACCAAGATGCTAGTGTAACCAAATACATTGTTTTGGGTTCATTAAGATACCTATCATATTAAATCCCTCATTGGCATTTTTCTTTGTCAGTATGTAAATTGGCATTAAGTGTGCTTTTAAGTTAATTAGTAGCTACATGCTGTACTGGCCTAATTATAAATAATGACTGTGCATAAATAGAAAAAATGTGAAAGCACAGCTATTAAGTTCTCAAATTTTGTCTTAATTTTAATCTCATTTAACATCTGTTCACATCTTAAAAGCTTTTTAAATTCACTATTGGTGATTATAGGTTTTATTTTATCTAGCTGATATTTTACATCAAAGCTATCATTTATCACCTTCATTACTGATTAACAAGTATTATATGAATAACGACACGACTGCTTCTTTATTGAAACAAAGTGAAGACATCGCTGAACCAACATGCCATTTCTGAAAAGGCGGAATTGTTGTTTGTTTGTTTTTTTATTTGCTATTTATAAAATGATGTGTAAAACCTTTTATAGCAGCCCCATTCGGAATCGTCTGGTATCTCGGCTCAGCAATGACCTCTATGCCTGCATTAGGGAAATGCGGAAATACAGGCTAATCAACCCTTCCTGCCCATCAGTCCTTCTGTGCCACGTCTCTGCAGTGACTCTGCACTGACTTGATGATTGGAAGAGAGGTGCATCCCTCCCTGAAGTCACTGCGGGTCTGGGGGTGCCTGGGGAGGTACAGAGGTCATCGTGCACTGGGAGCCAAGAGAGCCCTGGCCAAAAACCCGAACAGCCCTGTCCCAGCGGGGCGCCCCTGCTTGGGGGAGTCCCAGTCACAGCCAGCTGGTGAAATGACCCAGGATCAAACTCACAGCATTTAGGTCAAAGAGCCCTGTGCTCTGAGCAAGTTCCCTTAGTGATTTAGCCACTAGGGATCCCCCCACTGTTTGATGCTTTACTTTATTTCCACTGTATATCTGCACAAAATACAAGGTTACCTGCTTCAGTCTGTAGTGGAGCGGACATTATAGAGGAAATCAAAGCAAACACTCAGTGCCTATGTGATGAGCAGGTTATTACAGCCATTTGGAGAATGTCTTTCAGTCAGTACTTTAAAGAGAGGACTCATGGCCAGCCCAGAGGGATGCAGGTGTTGTACAGAGTCCTCTGGCTCTCACCTCTTGAGATCTGGGGTTCGACTTTCACGGCCGTGTCTGTAACTGAAAAGCCAAGCTGACAGGCCATGCCATGTTGACAGGCCTTAGGACCCTAACACCTCCGAGATCTGCACACTCTCCGGCCGGCCTCACTTTAAAGGTACAGAGATGAAAGACAGGGAGGGCAGTTCAGATTTCAGTGAGCTTTCACCCTGTCCAACCCCACCTGACACACACAAAGCCAGTTCGAAGAGCATTGCTCCTCTGGCCAACTGAACAGCATGAACAGCCACTGAAACTGACAGACAAATTACTGAAATAATAGAAACAAAAACATTCATGTGTCCCTCCCATTTCCCCAGAGGACTGCTCTAAAGTGAAATGGCAGGTGTAAGTTGAATTTGGAAGTGATTGACCTGTTTGCAATATTGTGCAGTGAATGTTATCTCGTACACAATGTTACATTTTCAGTCGCAACACTATAACTGCCACAGGAATGTCTTCTCTCAACATAATTTTAATTGTAAGGAAAATAAAAACACTGCTGTAGGTAAGTTGGTCATTAGGGAATATTTTAGGAAAGTGTGCCTGTGACAGTTACAGACAAACATTTTTTTTGTCCACAAGCCACAGTATTGTCAGAGACTTGATTACAGAAAAAGATAAGGTCCATGATTCAACATAGAATGAATCCATGCATTTAATATGCAAATATATTATAAAAATAATGATGACATGTCTTTTTTTTTCATTGGTCTATTCTATTTTCAAATAAATGTAATTAGGTGCTGTGTAAGAATTAAGCCTCAAGGGTCTCCAGCTATGGACCTGGAGAGCCCCACTCCAGTTATTCTTATAGATCATCCTAAATCACCTGTTATTTAAAGTGTAGGAATTGATCAATTAAGCAAGTAATGTTTCCGTGAAAGGAAAACTGGTCCTGGATGGTTGAAGGATATTTTGATTTTTTTATTCCAAATGATCTCTTAATTGCTTAATTGAACACACCACATGTTTAATTGATCACAGTTAAATTGCTTCAGGCCTCTAGGAATTGATGATTTAAAGACTACCTATTTAACCTGTTGAACTAAGGCTCTCCAGAACCAGGACTGTAGACTCCGGTCTTAAGATTTATAGAAGAATGGTCATCCCATGTATGGGAAGGCAGCTATCTTATTCCAAATGCAGCAGAAATGTTTTGGAATGGTGCAGCTTTCACACTTCAGAATAGCTACTACCTGGTGTTAGCTAAATACAGGAGTGTGCCACCGCACATGAAAGGCATTGTTGTTACATGAAGCCACTCGGCCTTTTTGAGCACGTGAATAATTTAGTACTCTACATTTAGATTTTCTCTGGGTTTTGTTTATGCCGTCTCCCGAATTTGGAAAAGGTCGGGGTTAAAAAAATTCAACCCATCTGTTACTGAGGGGAGCAAACCCTAGTGCCTTTCCCCTCCCTGGCCAGTGGGCATCTTTATCCTCCTTCTGTGCTTTGTGCGGGTTTGTGGCCAAGAGTGGCAGCTCAGCATAGCTTGTATTGACGCTGCTGAAATGCAGGACAGGACGGCCCACACAAAGCATCACGTGGTGAGCCACCAATTCGCCCATCAGATCGTCTTTCAGGGTTCCGAAATCGTTCACACCTACCTCAGGAAGTTGGGACGCCCGGCTTCCATGTCAGGTTTTTATTAGATGTCGTGTCACACAGTGGGACAAAACACGGCGACGTAAGGTGAAGTATTAAACTTTTCATGTCAGTTCCTTTTTAATCAAGAGGAGTGGCCAAAAAAGGAGTCTGCCTTTCCAACCAAAACAAATGTCCTAGCACTAGTTCTTTGCTCCATTATAAACAGATGGAGAAGACGTAATAATTCTAATTTGTTGTTCTTTTCTTAATTTGTTTTTCTAATATGAAACCCTCGACTCTATACGGTCTATTCTATTTTACTGCTTCAAACGTAAAGATGGCAGCGCTTCACAGTCCTTAAGGAAATCACTTTTAAATGTCTGTCTGACAACTCAGCTGATGTAGGAAGATATACCATTGTCGTGTGTAATAGGGTAAAGAATGTGAGCTCGGCTCTTTCAGCACATTTAGCCACAAGGAATATCCAAGAGATGCTTATTCTGTTGCGTTAACTTCACAATGGAAGGTCTAGCTCCGGGCCTTTACTGTTGTAGTAAAGTGGAAAAGCTTTATCTCTTTGCTATTTGAGATCCCCCCCACCCTTTCTTGTATGAAAGCCATGTACAGTAACTGCAAGACGTCAAGAACAATATTTCCTACCTCGTCTCTCTACTTTGTGGGAGTAGCTAGGAAATGTCACTCTGAGTGGCATTCCCAAAGTACCTGTTAGATGTTTTTACCGGCATTGTTGTCAAAAGTCTGTGAAAAACAAAAAAATGAACCGGGAAACATTTGTTAACCCTTACGTCTCTGAAATGCTGCATTTTAAAGTAGTAAAGAGACAAGGTTGAATACTGCTTTATTTCCCGCTCGGCGATAGTCAGAGTAATGTGAAATTGATTCTAGACCACAGAGAAGCATCTCCTGTGTGCACAGGGCATAGGTAGGAATTGAACAAAGGCATTATTTTATATAGGGGGGTCTTACTTTACGCCTGTATTGTGTTTGTGCTCAAAAGAGCAGGGATCTTTGAATGGTGGTGAGCCTCTGGACGAAGGACTCCGCAGTTCTCCTGTGGACAGATGGAGGAAGGCTCAGAGCCCACCAGGTCCCGGAACAGGAGGAAGCCACTCGTCCTTTCGCGCGGCCTCGGAGAGCAGCTTGCACTTTCCGTGAGTTACCGGATGGAGTTCTCTTGCTGATTAATGATATCTTTCATATCTTTGGAGTGCAAAATGTTTTAATCTGCAGTTTTGCATGGATGCTACAACCACTTCGTAGACGTGCTTGTGTACAAACTGCATACTTGTGCGTGTTGTCTTCACTGGCCCTGTACTACATAATCAGCTATGGCAGAACTATGGTAAAACTATTGTATTTTGAAAAAGTTGTTTTAATTAAGGGATTTGTGGTTCTTAAACATTTGATAGGAAATTGTAAATTTAAATATTATTATTATTATTATTATTATTATTATTATTATTATTATTATTATTATTATTGAAAAGGCTTTTGAGATCCATGTTTAGATTAATAACAGTAACCCTTATGTGTGAACATTCCTGATGGTGGGGACATTAGTGAGAGTTAAAGTATTTTGCATCGGTAATCCATAATCCAAACTATAAACTATTGATTTCAAGAGCATCAAATGTCCCTTCATCTCCACTATTTTGATACTAATCATGTTTATAATTATCGCACAGAAAAAGAAATCCTTTATTATAGGTGAACTTTTTTCATTTATTTCAAGAATTAACAGACACTATTAATAACTGTGTCCAATAATGTTGCACAAAGTACATTTAAAAAACATCTTAAAATCTGGTTTCCAGTTTGCCTTCTCCCTCATAATAGACTAAGTTGAAAGCAAAATTATAGCTGGGGTTGAATGATTATTTCTGAAAATAATCTTGGTATTCTTTAAAAAACCAAGAAATTTGAAGTTATGTAAAATAAAATTGACTTAGTTTTCAAACATTACCAGAAGACAAATAATAATCTGACTTGGGCTGAAAATCTGAAAGGAAAGTGGGAGTATCGTCCCTTTTTTCATCTCCTGCAAGATATCATCAGGAGGCCTTTATATGAACATGATTTAAATAGAAAAAGAGTGAAGAGAACAACACTGTGACTAAATACACGAGTCAAATGTGTGGATGGCTTGATCTGGCTCCATTTGAGGGGGGGAAAGGAAGTGTATAGTTTTTTTCTCTAATACATTGAGTATTTATGTGGATTTGTATGTATTAGATAAAAATGGTCTTGTTCTTTTTATCCTTATAGGCTTTTCATGCTTGTTGACTATACAACTGGAGGCTCAGTGGCAACTACATCTTCTTCTAAGCCTTTAGATATATCTAAAATCCTCCCAGTATCGGCCAATTTAAAAAGGCACATCCAAAGAGGATGGACAGACTTAAGCTCTTTTAGAACATAAAATAAGAGGGTTACGGCAATTTGGCAGCCAAAAAAGCAGTTTACAGGTCTTCACAGAATTAGTGACAGTATGTAAGGAAGCTGATCAAGATGCTATAGGAAAGATAATGGAGACTGAAAGAAAAACAATCCCTCAATTTTTTAACCAACCTAATCTGGTCTCAGATGAAGTTTCATTGTTTCTTATGTTGAGCCAATAAGGCTTAGCGTGATGGAGTAGGAGCATTATTCCAGCTTTATTTTGGCTCAGGGAAAGCCGATGAGAAGTACAATTGGTTCGTGGCTTCACAGCAGCGTGCATAAAGCCTTACTGTACAGGGAGCAAAAGAAGGCAGAAATCTGGGAAAAATCCCAACATTTTCACTAATACTTTGCGTTTCTCCCCTTTACACGCAGCTGTGGGAATCATTTGACATTTTTATTTAATAAACAGCTGCAGTCATCTCGTGCAGCAGTCACATCCTTTACTATACTCAAGCACACTGCGCTGGAAGTTAACACCTCGGTCAGGTCTTCAAGCCTGCCTGTCCTACAGCTCACACCACTGGCCTGTCATGTGTGCAGGCAAAGGTTTGAATTCAGCCCTTTTCAGTAATGAGGCAGGCAATCAGAGGCAACAAATCACCACTGGCAGTCTAATCTTTTCTTCTTTGTAGGCAGTTCCACTAAAGTTATTTCTCCATGTTACAATGCTGTTAACACCAAATTATGAAGCTACTTGACCTTTTAATGCCTGACTATGTTTAAATTCTTGGATTCTCACAGAAAATTTTAAAATAGCCATTTATGATATTTATAATGCACTTTGTTTTAGGATGGAAATTCCTGTGAACCATTGTATAAATAGTAAAAATAAATAGTGGAAATGTGTTGCCTTAGAAGTGATGTCTATTTATCATTTTTCTTGTGTGTGCTGGAGAGATCTAGTATGTATTTTTAAGCCTTGTACTCCTGTGAGGTCAAAGTACCAAGAGAGCCAATTCAGATACTGGGTCCTTTGTATTAAAAATGTCATTTTCCTTTCTCTCTGTGTCCTTTCTGCCTTGTGTTACAAGCCTTAGGGGATGCATGTAATTAATTATTTTAGTGCAGTGTAATTATACAAATTATTCTTATACTGATTTTCTAGACTAATTCTGGTCTAGGTATAACAAAAAACAAATATTATATCGCCATCTCTATTCACTGAGGTAAAACAAGAGATTTCCATTAAATCTGCTTTATGGTGTTTTCAAATTCCAAAGTGATCGCTGACTGATTCTGGATTGTCAGCCTCATTGATCCTGTCTCCGCTGCCCTGTTTGTTGATGTTGTAGCCGAACCATGAAGGGTACGTCTGCTGGGCTCGGGGGCTCTTCCCCAGAGTTTTTTTGTGCGCTCAGGAGCTCGTGCCTCACACTCCTTTCCCCCAGAGAGCTCGTGACAGGGTGCTCCGCAGTCACCATGACGGGCTCTGAGCTGGCCGGTGGGTCTGAGAGAGCCGGCGGGCCTGGGCAGGGCAGGGAGAAAGACCACCTGGCACAAAACAGAGAAGGTCCACTAACGATCCAAATAAACAAATAGGTCACGTGCCTGACATGCCCTTTGTGCGTTTCCTTCACAAAAGCAGTTTAAAAGAAGAACAAAAGATGAGACATGACACACAAATGTACAAAAACCAGAGCTGCCTGTCCCCAGGAGACATCATAAATAAATTCACCCTCTGTACCTCTCATACCCCTACTCCAAGTGCACCTTCTGTGCTGGGCTGCTACTGTGAAAACAAGCACTTAAAGTTGCCTCCTCTTCCTCCTCAGGCCTCCCGGCCACACCCTGACAGGCAGGTTGGGGAGGGAGCTGGGCATCGAGGCCTATGAGGCTGCCCTGACAGGGGACCCCTGGGCCCGGACACAGGCAGGTGAGGTCCTTCTCTCTGCTCCCCTCCTGCCACTCAAGGCCTGACAGTGGTAACACCGCAGGTGGCATCTCAGTTTCTCCATTTCTCTCTAGCCGTTCACAAAAACCTGGTAACTGTGGTCTCCTTCATTTGTATTTCATGATACAGCATGTCAGAAAAAATCCACATGCACTCTTGTCTGATAGAGTGCTTGATTTATGTGCATATAACATCTTTATTGTTTTCTTGTTATATGAAATAGGGATAAAGTTACTTCTAGCAAACCAGTATATAACATGAATACAAGATCTTCTGGGCTGGAGTAGGTGAAAGATGTGGAAGCTGCCTCATATCTTACCTAAAAGAGGTAGAGTAGGGTCCCCTCTGGATGGAGTGCCACTTTGGGACATTCGCCCCCAAAAGAAAATCCGTTCTCCTGATCCAGCGGCAGAGCCACAAACTGTTGTTTTTGTCCTTCGGTTAAAGGAGAGGTGGTGTTCCAGAAATGTGTGGGAAAAACAAGTGAATATGGAGAAATTGATGTTTGACTAATAGTGCTCAATTTGCTCCTAGGACAATTTTTTTTAATGCTTCGTATCTTTATATGACGCAATATTTACACAAACTGTACCTGAAATGCTCAGTGTGATTGTTCTTAATATCAAAATTCTGACTTTGTGAATGAAATAGTCACAAGCATACTGTAAATCATGTCCATTTAGTTTAATTTAGTCTTTATTTTTGTTTTTGTTTTTCATTTGGTATAGTAGCCTTTATGATTGAACTCAACTCATGGCATGGACATGCTGACCTCCTGTCAACTTTTCTTGCTAAGCAAAGAGTCATTTATTTTTAATGTATGAGCACCTAGAGATAGTTAATGAATCATTTTGAAAGTTGCAGTCCACCAGCTGTGCTCATTAGGTTATGTAATAAAGGACATTGAATTACATAATGTACATAGAACGGGTTTTAAAAAGCATGATTTCACATCAACTCAACACTCAACAGCTTAAGAATTGTACTACTTTCTTATTTATACCAAAGTCTTAACATCAAATTTAGGATCAGTGATATAGCCTACCTACTTGTTGAGTTTATTTGTATTGCTAATGAGCCAATACAATTCTGTATAAATTACAAATAAAAATAATTCTTATAAGTAATTATTTTATTGAATAGAAATGTATTTGAGTGTTAATGTACAGTAAGATACAGGAATCTGTGTAATCCATTGTTTTTATATACAATCATAATGAGATTTAATTTTGAACCTATGTGGGAATTAGTAATTACAGATTTTTTTAAAAAAAAATTGAACTTGAAGCTTATAAATCCCTCTCAAAATCTTGCACAGAATTTCAGAAATAAAGAATTTTGTTCTAAGGACCTGCAAATTGGAGTCTGGGACTTTTGACATAGTAGTGATGGAGGATAGCATTTGTCAGATTTGTCTCACTTAAGTGGTAAACATTGTATCATGGAATCATGGAAAACTAATTGGCTTTTATTAATCTTTTAAATTATTATAAACAGTATTCTTTGTACTTGCTACAGCAGTCTCTTTAATGCCCCAAATTACCACTGATATCCTAGAGCATCTGTATTGGAAGTGGTCTCTTTGCACTAATCCTGTGAAACTTCCACCCACACCAGTTTGTTTAAAATGAGCCTGTAGGTATCCAGCTAAGTACAGCCTCTAGTCATCTGAATCACCTGATTAGGCTTAGGCTGCAACCTAACAATGACATGCTCCTTCTCCATATGCTTCTTTGTCTCTAAAGCAGCATTAGCTGAACTGTAAGGCATCCTGAACAGAGGGATAAGAAGTAGCACCATAATCTGTGCCACAACTTTCATAAACTACAGGGGTCTTTTGCTGAAAGGGTTTTTAATGCTTCGAAGTGAGAATAGCCATTCAGAAAACTGTTCTGTCACTGCATCTGACTTGGGAATGCTGCTTGTCTGCACATTCCATAGGCGGAAAATGGACCCCATTCCACATAGTTCCTAATGCTTGGTTGTTAATCTTGTGGCGGTGCTAGCTCCTTATGGACAAGAAGAGAACTACTGTAAGTGGGATCTGAAAACAAGATTGTTTCGCCCTTGTGACACTGCAGGTTTTATTGCCCACGAAAGGTTTACCATCTGTTTTCTGGAAAGGTTTAAGCCCCTTAATACAAGTAAAACAATGGTAAACATAGTAAAAATGGCTATCTGAGAACCCAGAGTGTTCTACTTACATGATCATTCTGACTTTTCTCCCTGTTTTTTTTAGGAAACGATCATGCTGGCAATGTAGATCAGGTAATATGCTTCCAGTTTTTAATACCTGCAATGAAAAGCAATAATTAATACCCAAACATGAGCTTTCAGTAACACTGTATGAAAAATACACTCCTTTAAGGAATTAGAGTTTTACATGTATCTCTTCTTTTATGCTGTGGAATTGTTGTTTGCATCTGGGTTGAATTCTTAATTCCTAGTTTTTGCATTCTTTAAGCAGCTGACAAGAAAACACAATGTGCAAAACTTTTCAATGCATGTAAAGGAAGAAATCATTAACAAACATTCATGTTAAGGTTCTTAATGCTAATGTCTCGATCAAGGAGCAGTCGTATAGTGTGCAGTGGAAAGTTCTGTGTTTTTTTCAGTCTGAGATTAACTTTCAAATGTTCTCTACATCATCCTTCTGGACAGCAGATATATACACTGTAACTGCAAACATGGGCTTCAGTTTCCAAGTACAGTCATAACCCTAACCGATCCTCCAGTGTAGTATTAGTTATTTTATTTTTCCCACTATCACTCCTTTACCTTTAGTTGGTTTTCTTTTAGGTCACTGAAGAATCCGGATCTCTGAAAGTCATCCATTTTGGTTTAGTTTAAACGGTATTTTTCTGGGGAGTTTAACCTTCAAATATACTGTATATTTACAATTAAAAGGCTGTTTTATATCTTATTTCAGTTTTCAGATTATTCTTCCCAGTTATTTTTCAAAATGTGTACTTCACAGCTGTCACATTTAATTTCAGTTTAGAGTAAATACATTTTAAAAAACAGGTTTACTTCAAAGTGTCTGGCTTATTTTGGAACATTCAGTCACCTGAATGGCAGGCAGAAATCGTGAGTCACTTCTGAGGAACTCTTTTGGAGTAGAGTTGTTGCTATAACACTTTGAGGTATATATTAAGGTGTCATTATTAAAGCAATGTGCCTGTGCCAAAGTTCATTGCTTTCAAATATACAGTATCTATAATTTGCATGTACTGTACATACTGTATAGTGTATTTTCATATAATTTCTTTTTTAGGATATTTTTGTAACTGGAATTGTTTTGTACTTGCTTGTGAATAGAAATATTTTACATTATATACTCTTTCTATAATTGACTTGTGTACAATAAAGGATTTTGTAATGGTTTGGAACAAAAGTTTTTTTTTTCTCCTTTGAACATTACCATTACCAATGCATGAATGCTTGTGCAGATAGACTTGAATCCTACAAATACTAAAAGCAACATTTATTTATTTATTTTCTTATTTCACAAGCAATATTTTAAAGTTATTAATCAATTTGGTTAGCCCTTTCATTCAAATCGTATTATTTATGCACAGATTGGACAGTTTTAATGGAGCAATCTGAATGACATGCCTTGCTCAGGGGTACAACAACAGTGCCCTACCTGTGATTTGAATCTATAATCCTTTAGTTGTAAATCCAGAGCCCTAACCACTCCTCCACACCACAGCCTGCACTGTGAAAAAGATCTGTAACTTGTCAGAAAACTGCATGTATGTTGCATGCATGTAATTAAAATGTTAAATCTTTAAATGAAAATAAAACATTGATATGCACTACATACCTTTCTATATTTGTTTTCTGAATGCTTGATGCTAAATGTACTGGAGACAGTTTAGTAAAACATTTGAAATTACTGTTGCAGTATTTGTTTTCAGCTGTTTGCTATCAGTCCTTGTTTAAGTGTTGCTGTGACCTTTTTTTGGGGATATGGGATTTTGAAAAAGTTATTCAAGGAAATATCTGCATGCACCTTTAAAAATGTAACAACTGGAGCTGATTTCCTGAACAGCAGCCATGGTTGTGTCAGTGTTGTTGATGGTCTGTACTGAGGATTAATCTGACAGCAGCCAGTGATCCATAATCCTTCACTGTATCGTAATCTATTTACTTTGCATTCTAAGAGGATTTCCATATAAAAATATACAAGAAGTGATGCTGGAAATGGACAGAAGATCAGGATGGCTATGTTTTTTTTCGAAATCTGGTGGCATTTTTTATTTTATTAAAATCTGTTTATGTCATTTTTTGGAGTCAAAATCAGGGGCAAGGTACATTACAGATTATAGATTTAGTTATTTCTTTGTGTGTGTGTTTTTCCCCCTCTTTCCCTTTTACGTATCCCTACAGGTAGATTAATCATTTCTGTCAATGTCACAATTCCTGCCTTGTAAGCCGACTGTATAAGTGTGTAGTTGTCACTTTTTTTATCAGTAGAATCTATTAAGGATATATTGATACCACTTGATTTTCCTGGAAGCTCGCTTAGGGTCACTTTATGATTGAACTGGCAGCACAGATTGGAAGATTTCCATTAATTTCACTGTAGTCCTGTACGGCGGCACTGCGTTACTCTTTAGACTGCCAAACAGCTCCCTCCCATTTACGAACCTAGTTCAGCAAATTAAAATGTGTTTCAGTGTGCAAATCACTTATCATGAAGCACTTAAACCTTTAGGCACGTACAATTTGTGTAAGTGCGGATTATATCTCTGATGCTATTTTTATACAGACCGGCCATCTGTTATTATTACATTCCTAAAACAGATGCTTTTCCTAACTTTTAGCACACCATTAGTTACTAAAGGAGGTTTTTACATGACGGAGATTAACAAGGAAAAAAGCTGTTTTATTGCTGTTGTTTTTGTAGCTGCCCTTTTACAACAATTTGTTTTTTTATCCTTTGTTGATAGACACGTGAGCATAAAGTTTCCCTGCAGCGCTCTTTTCTGAATGGAGTTACTGAAGCCCAGATGGGTATTCTGTAATCTTAATTAATAACATATTAATGTACACTATTTATACAGTACATTTAATATATATATATAGTCAAGGCAACCTCATTGTTTATGATACAGAGCTGTATGTATATGTCTAGCTTCACAGATGGAGTTGTTTTCAACGAGTGGATTAGAAGTGAACATTTGTGCTTTTTCATAAATGTTCTCCTAGTAATAATGTTCACTTCTTAGTCTTTAAATATAGCAATACAATTTTAGGTGTGTGTGTGTTGTTATATTTTAAGACTAAGGAAAAGAGCTACTGAACTTAATATGCAGACTTTATGCTGGGCAGGGTGCTGTAAGATTAAACACCAGAGTAAATCTGGAAAAGGAATGCTGAAAAAAAAGAATGCTTCTAGCAGTGTGCAAGCAAGCGGGTGTGATTTTATTTCAGTAGCTCATCCAAGTCCTGACATTCTTGGTTCGTTTTCAAATCTAGCAGGAGGTAACAACATAATCGTAGCCTCTCTGTTGCTCCTTAAGGTCAATCATAATCTTTCACTGTCTCACACACACATAAACACTAAGAGACAAATGTTATTTTTCTTTTACTAATAAAATCTTTCAATAACATTTATAACAAATACCGAATTTCTCGCATCCTTGTGACTGCTTTTCTTACAACACCTCTTTTGTTGTGGATAACTTCATGAATAACTAAAAAGGTAGCAAGGCATTTATTTTAATCCAGTATAGCTCTGTATGATTAGTGAAATCAGGTACCGCATTATATACTATTTACTACCTTTTAAAAGACTCAGTACATTGGACAGAGATAATGAAATAAAAATGACAAACAGCAGAACATGATTTTTGCAGGTGCAGGGCATTATCTCAGCCAGGTAGATAAGAAGCCTGACCCCCTGGAGGGCAGATTGCCCTGTAAAAAGTAACAGAAATCCCATAAGAAATTTAATGAATATGGTGTTGTGTCAATGAATTGAATCAGTGCAGTGCACATCGTGAGCAACAGGTAAGTGGCTTTCAGCACTGTGTGAGATCACTCTCATAGGCCACCAGATCTTCAGTGTTTTAGCACAGAGCAAAGCTTTTTGTAAAGCACATTGTCAGAGGGGGGAAAAAGCATCATATTGTATCTTTTTTGGGGAAGAGCTAAATGAAAACCTTCTAAAAAGGACTCAGTCAGGGATTATTAATTGGTACTTAATGTACATTAATATAGAGTGTGCGGTACCTCGCAACTGGAAAAATATAAAATGCAAACAAAATACCATGAAGTGTAAGCCATTTGTGCAAAACAATTTGTAACAATTTGTTTCTAATTTCCCTTCTCTAAAAAGTAGTTCACTGCTTTAAGTAGAGAGAATTATTTTGAAGCTTAAGACGAACAGCTATCATGACAAACAGGAGATGTCATAGAAAGCAATATAAATATTTTCGGATCATGGCATTAACTGATTACGTTATGATAATTTACCATATGGATGATACAATTTGCCAAATGGTTCTTTAGAGCTGCACATCTTCTCCCCATTTTACTGGGACTTCAGGACTAAGTCCCACTTCATTGTGATACTGATGTACTCTGTTGGATGATGCTTTGTAATAGCCGTGTTTACTATTTCATTTCTGAGAACAATCTTTTCCCTCATTGAAATGTGTAATGCAAGTCAACGGTAGTAGTTAAAGGCATTTTTTATAGCGATTGATAAACACCTTACCATTGGTCCAAAATCTTCCGTAGGTTAACTCAATTTAGAAATTAATAATAAATCTGTTTGAGCTGATACTTCAAGAAAGGTGAGTCAAATGACCTCCTCTGGTTTATAATTTTCTAAAGTCTTTTTTTGTAAAGAGAAATTTGTTTTTGTTACTCTCAGCCAGGGGTCCTTCAGGGTCAAACATGCAATATACATCATCATCATCATTATTATTATTATTATTAAAATTAACACCTGCCTCAAAGACCCATTTGTGTTCAAGGTCTTTAAATATAAATTACATGTATCCTACACAGCCCACCAGGGGGCAGAACAAAGTACATACCTGACCCCCATTTATTGTGGTGGCCTCCTGATGACCCAATGTTCCATCTCAGGAAGGCCTAACTGCCCCTGACTGCATGTTCCTCATGAGCTGTGGTCGCGCTGGACTGAGAAAAAACGCACAGAATTTGGCTTCTGTGGGCAGAGGCCCAAGATCAGATTGGTTTCGAATGAAGCTCTGTCACTCCCAGCTTTGCAAAAAGACTGCCATCCCTCCATCTTTCCAAAACATCTCTTTAAGGCTTAAAACCAAAACTGGAGCAGATAGAATCTAAACATGCAAAAGGCTGTTACGAGTTCATTCCCTGGACATTTATGCAAGCAGAAGATTGACAAGTGTTTTCATTGCATCAAAGAAATACATATTTGCATTTGCTAGACAGAAGCAATCCTGGACAAAAGACTGAGTCAATATTTTGCATTGTGGGATAAAGAAAGAACAATATACAGAAGGTACAATATACAGAATGTAGTTTATTTTTTAATTAAATAGACCAAATATTAGCAACTGCCTACTTCACAGTAGTATTAAGCACGTGTGAGTTTAAAAAATACTGAAAATCCAAACCTCTTGGTTCATGCTGGGGTGTTACAACATGTCCTGATGTGACTTCAGGTTATATTTTACCTGAGAAAGAGCTATTTCCTCCTCCTATAGCCCCACTGTAGATTCAGAAGATGCCCTAAACTCCCAGTGCTAGTAACCTTTGCATACTTCCTGAAAGACCACTAGCATCACTGCATGATGGATATGCAGGACAAACAGGAACGTGATATACTGTAATAAGATTGGAGGAGAAACTACAGTGACAATGGCTTCTGTCAGCAGTAGCATCCCACCATCTTGTCTAGATTCCTCTTGGTCTGCCCTGAAACTGAACTGAAGGGTAGTTGTGGTCGGAGTGCATGACACCAGACAGCTTCATGGGAAATAACATTCCTCTTCCTTCTGGCAGTTCACCAGTCTCATGTTAAGATGTGTGACATAAAGAGGTGGGAGAACTTCAGCTTGCCCTGCCCACCAAACCTTTGGAAACACAAGAGGCCGGTTCTGCAGTACCTTCTCATGACACCAAAAGACCAATGAAGAACTGGATCCTTAATTCAACCTCTTTGCTCAGATTTACTGGATGGATGATGTATGGACCATTGGTTCTAACATGTTTTCCCTCTGCTGATTACAAAGTGAGTTACAAAGCATATTTTGTACAAGACCTATCACTAAATCCCACAGGGACAATATTAGACTGTAGAGGTTTGCATTTCCTGTGATCTCTGGACAGAGCATAGCCTTGGACAATATAAGGATACTTAAAGACCAAACATGCATAGCATCAAACTTTCCTCTGAATTCTCAGGGTTATCCTGTCCAGGAAAAGGACAGCGTTTGATGTTGGTGCCTCACCTGCAGGTCTGATTGACAGATTAAACCCAAGATTAATATAGATACCAGCTCAAGCAGGAAGAAATGTACTTCCACTGATTTAGAATTGTCCTACTGACCGTCTCCTCTTTTGCCCTATATACTATATCTAGCTTGTGTCCAAAAAACAAAACAAAACTAATGGTACGTGTGTTGAACATCACTGGCTAGCAGGGAGATGCTGTGATGGTTCTATAAGGTGATGAAGAAGT